ATGCAGGATCTTTTTTCTTTAAATCTGTTTTTCTGTTAAGGAAACTCACAATCTTTTCTCAATTTGCAGGAGTCCAGGATGTTGCTGCAAATTACCTGGATGAAGATGTTTTTGCCAAAGACACACTGGGTAGGTTATTGAATTTTGCATCACATGGCTAGTTAACATCTTCTGTGTAGGAAGTGGCGGTGTTGCCATCTGAGGTGCTAAACAGAAGTAGCTCTTCATATGCACATGGATAAATTAGATTGTCGTAGAAGGCTCATTGTGTGACTGGCCTTTGTAGTGGTCCCAGGGAGGTGGGGGTTGTGTGGGTGAATGTGCACCTACTAGGAGCTCTCCCACCGAGCCTCCTGCAGAACGAAGTTGTGGTGGGTCTGGGGAGAGGTTGAAGTGTGGCAAGACAAGAGCAAGGCAGTCTTTTGAGCTGTGATGTGCAAAGAGGCTTTGCTTCAAAGCCAGCATAAGGAAGTGTTGGAGGTGCTACTCCATCTTCCAGCAATGAAGCAGTTCTATCTAGTAACATTCTTCACATGTCCTCTGCATATTCTCATTCTTAGAGGGGACGGATGGTGCAGCTTGCATGAAAGCATCTTTTGGTAACTATCAGTTGTGCTTACAAGTCCTACCCCCTCTATAGCATGTGAACACATTCTGAAGGTGTGGGCCCAAAAGGAGGCATAGTACTCACTGCAGCCTCACTTCTTTCCAACCACGTCAGTGAAAGGATCTGACTCTCTCCAGATCACATAGATAAAATGCCTTCTAGTTTGTTAAATTAGTTGGTCAGTACCTGGACTAACTACTTCTAAAACTGAATGATAATTACCTGGTACCAATACCATAATGGAGCCCAACAACAAGCAGCATGGATTTTAAAGGTGTCGTGCCCAGCAGTTTTCCCAGCTTTCAGTATTCATGATGATTGCCTGAAATGCTTAGGAGAGAAGAATTCTCCTTCATGCTATGCGCAGCATGCTTACTCCTTGGGCCTGTAAAGAGAAACAATAGCCTTTTGTTACACCAGGACTTGTCAGCCAAACCTGTGGGGTTAGAGGATCTGAAGGGAAGGATAGGGGACATGAATCTGCTTCAAGTACTTCTGGATCCCGGAAGGCTTTAACAGTGAAGGCTCTGGCCTTGGCAGAGAGCTCCATTTCCAAGTTGCGGTTGCCAAATCCTCCAATCCTATTCCAAAGATATTGCCTCCAGAAGAGCTGGTTCCAGCTAAGGAACATAAAGCTCGAGAGAGACTACTGGAACCAAGCACATCAATTATGCAAAAAGGAAGGTCAAACTTGAAGCACATCTTACTTAAATGCTTCTTGGGGCCATTTGGAGTTGAGTGTGGATCTAAAGATCAAATGCCAGATCATTCTAAGGAGTAGATCCAAAGGAGACCAGAGAAATCCCATATGTCCACTATTAAGGTTCCAACTTCTACAGTTACATTGTAGGTTCATGCAGTTCCACAAGAGGGCAATCCCCCTCCCCCCCCCCATAGAGAGACCAAGCTGGGATCTTGACTGGGATAGATCTCCAGAGACAATTTTCCTATTTCCTAAATGAGATACTCTGCAAGAGATGTATGATTTGATGCTAGAATGGAGGCAAGACTACCACATGCCATCATGGATGCTTTACCTCCTTTATGTGCGCCCGCGGAGCAATCTGGGCTGGCCCCGCCCCCGGGCATGCGGCAGGAGCCAGCCCCGGGCGCGCTGCGTGTGCTGGTGCTGACCCAGACCCCCGCCCCTGGCCCTGGGGGCGCCGTGCGTGCCCGCGCTGGCCCCGCGGAACCTGGGCAGCCCCTGCCCAGGATCGTGGCACATGCTGGTGCCAACCTTGGGCGTGCAGCACATGCTTGGCCCTGCCCCCAGTCATGTGGCCTGTGAGTGGCCCCGCCCCCAGGCGCCCGGCAGCCCCAAAACGTTGGGGACCACTGCTTTACCTCTATTGGCCAACCCCTGCTTCATACCATACAAGAAGGTCTGACTCTCAGCTTCCACCTAAAGCTGTGTCGATGATGATCTGATTAGACACCCAGAATCATTGTCTAGAGTGTGCTCTCCTACCTGGGTACAAGATATGCCTTCTGAGGGGGAGAGAAGAAATATTCCTTCCAGTTGCTTAACAGCATTGAACTAGAAGGTGACTAGTTTCATCTCCAGATGAAAATGTAGCTTCAGCTTCATCTCCTCTGGAAGATTCAATTCAGTGCTGTAGATTAGTGGATATAAATTTTCATCTATAGCTTTGGAAGAAGCTACCCACTGACTCTTCAGCATTTTGAGTTTGACTACAAATATAAAGTATTTTCGCCAGTAATAGAGGTACTTTGTCAACCAGCAAAAGCTGTAAGCACCAATCCTTTCTCTCCTCTTAACCCCCCCCCCCCCCAAAAAAAAACCTGAGAAGCTGTCAGATCCAGTATGAAGGGTTCTCTTGTATTCGTATTCACTCTTCAACTCACTCACTCCACATAACACACACAGGTCCCTTTTGCATGTTGGTATTGAGTGTGATCCATTTTCAGGTCCTATTACACACCGTTAGATTATATTTAAAGGTTGTGGGGTTGTCCATCCCCATTGAAGTCCATTTAGCAGAATTCCATAAGCAGATTGATGGCAAATCTGTGTTTTCAAATCCGTTTGTTAAAAATGTATTTTAAGGGGTTTATTCAACTTTATAGACATTGATATAAGACCCAGTTCCTCAGGGAATGTAAACATAGTTCTAGCATAACTTATGTCTCTTTCATTTTAACGTCATGTGAGCGGCTTCCTATTTCGTCTGTACACAAAGATGCCTCTTGTAATGCATCCACTTAAAGACTCAGCGAGCTATGTGAAGTGATGGCTGAATACCACCTTACGATTTTTTTTCCAAAAGGACAAGGTAGTCCTTGGGCTGCTCCTCAAAGTACTTACATGAAAACCTGAAATTTCTTTACGTCACAGTATTAATTTACCAGCATTTCCAAAAACTCACATACATGATTCTGTAGATGCAAAAAAACACTTTATTTGAATAGAAATGTATGGCATGGGCCTTTTTATTTTCTATTTTGGTCTGTTTCTGCTCAGTTTGTATCTAGGCGGGTTAGACCAACGGTTCGCAACCTGTGTTGGGGGTTGCGGCTGTCTTCGGAGGGGGAGTGGTGGTGTTGGCAGTGCTGGGCCAGGGGCAACTTTTTCCCTGGCTCAGCGTGGAGGAGCACCATTTAAAAGGGCCACTGGTGGTTGGTTTTGTTTTTTTCTTTGCTCAACCAACATTTTCCTGGGGGTTGTGCTGGGAAAAAGTTTGCACACCACTAGGCTAAACAATGTATAGTTAGGAGTTATAGAAATTCTTCACTTGCCCCTTCTTTTGTTCCTATATCCCTTTCCACTAGGATAGTTGCTCTGTCTCTAGCACGTGCTAAATACATTTCCTTTACGGCACTAAGTAGACCTGCCAAGTGGCATTCAGTTCACACATTCATGAAACACAGTACATTAGGTTTGGCAGTCAGCTCTGACTCTGTTTGGCAGGGCTGTTTTTTCAGGCATTGTTTAATTTAGAGTCTGTGTCCATCCCTCTCATCTTTAGCATTCTGCTTGCCAAAGTATCAGAAGAGTGGGAATGTGTAAAAGATGCTCTAAGGAAAAAACAAGGTTGTCTACTTGTATCCAGGCTACCAAATCTTGGTAGGTTTCTGAGGTTCAAACTAGCTGCTAGCTGTTTTTTATTGCTTCATTTTGTTAGATACTTGCACAGGCTTCTCACCATTAGGTTTTAAAGCCTGACCACAGCTTGTTTAGCTAAGAGCTTTGGGGGGTTGCACATATCCCACATCAGCTGATATTTGAGCCTTGCTATGTTAAGGATGTAGTCTCATGTTTCCTTTGGCTGTCGGTAACTTTCACCCTTGACAACTGGCATGCTCCCTCTGGTGGACACCAATTATCGTTCATTTTCTTATCCTGTGGAGGCATTTTGTTGTCTGCACCCCACTGCCCTCCTTGCAAACCTAGTAATTTGTTGGACAACCCAGCCTTCACTCAAAAGCAACTGACAATTGAAGACATCAACGGCTGAACTGTCCACAAGACAGAGTGGGAAGAGCAGCCTTCTAAAGCTTGTGGTTTTCAGGCTTCTGGTCAGTTTCTCACTGCACTTTTGAGACCTGGGAGTGAGAAACTTGAACAGAATTGCAAATAGTCTTATTAATTACGTTGCCTGTAAAGCACTACCTTGTTGCACAATGAACAAAACCCCTGATTATATAGAAGCAGATGGGAAAGGAGACAAACTAGTGTCTCTAATACTATTAATACGCAGTAGGGAAGGAAGGGTGGGAATCAGGGTGGTGTTGAAATATTATATCACCAGTCATTTATATTCATGGTCCATTGGTGTTCAAAACATTGATTGGGGAAACAATTTTTATATTGGTGATTTCCATGGTTCATTTATTCAATACATATTTTTGCAATGTCATTATAGTATGTATTTCTATTGTTGTACCAATTATTTTCCCATTTCTTTCTTACTAGGCACAACCTTTATATCCCAAGGAAAAGATGTGATAAAGACCACCTGTTATGGTGCAAATTTTTATCCGGTAGAAGTGAATCTTGTGACAATGCTATTTGGAATGTTTACAGCTTGCCTCTACCTTACATTTCCTGCATATGTTGCGTGTTTGTGGGGGGGAAAAAATAGTGTTATGGAAGAATGTAAATCTTATTGTAAATAACTTATTTGCAAAAACTGGTTTGAATATAGCATTGGTATAATCTGATCTTTTTGAGTCTACTATATGTACTGATTTTAGAATTATAATATGAAAATCAGATTGATGGTTTTTCTGAAAGATGCTCTAGTTGAGCCAGAAATTATGGGCTTAGCATGGGACTGAGTCCAGTTCTCTGGCCTGTGTTTATGCAAGAGGTCAGACGGATTCCTTCTGGACTTTATATCTATGAATCTATTAAAAGTAATTGTTCTCTCATACCATTCCATTTTTCCATCTAGTGTGGTTCAGATCTAACATGCCTCTGAGTGTTTTACCATAACAGAATCATTAAGGTCCAAAAGTCAACAGTACCAAAGGAACTCCTCCAAGGGGTTTACGGTTTTTATAGATTACAATAGCACCTAGTGGTTCCAATCAAGACCAGGACCCTATAATGACACTGTAATAGTCAACACCTGATCCTAAGTCTATTGTCTTTATTGATGCAAAATAAATGTGGGAAACTGAAGTGGGAAGAGGAAGTGAAAACAGTAGTAAGGCGAGACTAGAAGTCTGCATCTTAGTGAGTGTCTGTCTTATTTTACAGCTGCACTGTGATAGCTATTCCCTTCTTGAACAGTAATACTATCAGCTATACACCTGCCTTCCAAAAATCACATGGGCATGAGATAATCTATAAGGTGTCCAGCAGAAATCATGAAATGATATAAGGAGAGGGGTGAGACACCAGCTGTGGTATCTTCCTCCCTGGCTCTCTGGATATGGAGTGCCTGTTGAGGATTAAAGCACTGTGGTTGTGGGATGCAGACAAGAAGAGGACATACAGAAATCTTTCATTATTAGTAAGCTGGATGGAGAAGGGGGACAGTTGTTTAATACCCTACTCTATTTTGAGGAAGAGCTGGTTGCAGGGCATAAATCTTGGTAAGACTAGAGCTTCTGACACTTTACATGTATGTTTAGACTAGTCTTACAAAGGCAGAGGCCATCTCTTTAATGTAGCTGTAGGGTGGTCAAAATCAAGGTTTTAGAGTGCTGAATGTAAATACTAACCCTCTTCTCCTCCTCTTCTCCCCCACACACCAGTAATGGAGTTCGCTGCTAATTTTGCTAATATGACCTAGCCCTTGAAACCTTCCAGTATTACACTTTGTTAGTGTCTGTTTCTATCTTAAAATGCTCCATTTTGCAAAATGGGCCAGTCCTCCTGCTGTCAGATTTGTGGAAACCATAGAGTAAGATGAGCTGGCTTCTCTCAATGTGAACAGGAACATTCAATCTCACGAACTAACCTCACCTGTCTTTCAGAAGGGGCCTCTTTATGTAAAGAGGACCTTGAAGCCTGCTGCTTCACTCACTTCAGAACCTGGAAAGGAAGTGGTAACTGTCAGCACTGAAATGCGAAGTGTACCTGTTTCCCAGTTAAAGTGCTATTTCCACTTCTAGCTATGCAAGCAAACCCAGTAGGAGGCTTGCTATAAAAGCGCACAGGTTGCTACCTTAAACCTCACGGTTTGATGTGCAGTGAGTAATTGCTATCCACAATCTTTGCAATTACATATGGAACAGAAAATGTTAATGAGTTAAATAGGCCTTTGGATGTCTGAATATTCATTTTCTGTGCATAACCTTCATAAAGGAACACTAGGCTAGAACAGCAGATCCCTTTCACCATCTGGTACTGTCTTGCTTAATATAAGTTCACTAATTCTATAAACTGTGTTGCCTCCAGCCTAGACAACAGCTGAAGATGTTGAAGACAGTCAACATGATTCGAGGCAAATACTAATTTAAAATTACTATTGCATAGGTAAGAGCTAGGTTACTTATCAAGCCTGTTTGAGTTAAGTTAACCATACTGTTAATATACATTTATAGTTATTTCCTGTAGCTAAAATCCTTGACTAAATTTCTTTGCTTTCAAATGTAAACATTTTTAAGTTTCTCATCCTGCAATTATTGCTATAATTCACGGAATCTCTATCTAATGCCATGGTAGATGGGATGGGAGTCCTGGATATAGGGAACAGATGCAATAGAACAGAGAAATACTGCACATCTTTCCAGTTGGTACATTTGACACATCACTGAAATGTCTATAGTGTATTAACATAGCCAGTGCAATGAAGTCTGTCTCAGGTTGAATGTCATAGTCACAGACTATGGAGGAATGCAGTGTGACTGGGAGAGATTGGAAAGATGAGGGATATGAGGCCAAACGGCTGCTGTGGTCGTGAATATATTAGATTGTTGGGAATTTCACAGTCCCGGAGAAGAAAAACAAGAGATTGCAAAGGGCCAAGAGCTTAGCTTTTAACTCACTTAGAATTATCAGGCAAGTAAGTTAAAGCTCCTCGTTCTTTAAAAATCCATGTACCTTTTAAGGTGCTGAGTTTGGCCAGGAGCTAGCAGTCTGCATTGGGACAAGTATCAGAGGGGTAGCCATGTTAGTCTGAATCTGCATAAACAATAAGAAGTCCTGTGGCACCTTATAGACAGATTTATCGGAGCAAGCATCTGACAAAATAGGTCTTCATCTCTTGCCTCTGTCTCTCCCTCACTCTTCTCTCTCTTCCCCCCCACGCAGTTTCTCTTCTCTTTCCTGTGAGTCTCCTGTCTTGGCTCTCAGAGCTTGCTGCTCAAGTCAGGAGTTGCACTCGAGCCATTAACCTGTGCTCCATCTTGTGCCCAAGGAAGAGTGCATTCTTAGAGTAGGAGGAAGTTGGACACTGCAGCTTTGGTCTTTCAAGCAGCTGTTAAAGTACAGTTTTACTTGTTATGAAGGCACCAAATGTACCTTAGCCCATGGCTGTTTTAGTCTGGAGGTGCCTTGCTGCTACTTGGAGATGAAAAGTTATAGCCAGTGTTCCATTATGTCCCATTTTCAGATTGTCTAGGAAAATATTTTTCTAGCCATTGGAATTTTCTTTCTAGCTGTCATAGACTCTTCTTCCTCACCTGGGTTGAAATTACAGTAATTTTAGACCTTTTGTCACTTTGACTTGAGCTTTGACTTGAGCCCTGAAATGGCTTCGTTTTATATTAGAAACTATACAAAAAAAAAAAAGCTAAGGTATTTACTAACCTTTCCCACCCTTCCTCCATCAGTTTACAACCTATGCTGGGCCCTGCCTGTACTTCATTTTGTAACAGTGAAACAGTTTAAACATATAAATCCTGCAGAAACATAAGTCTAGTACGGAGTAACACACAGGCTGACCACAACTGGGGAAGGCTCTCGGACTGTGACTTCCCCAGCGTAGTTGGTGGTAAACTGTTAAATGGTTGCTAATGTATGTAGCTGTTATCTGGCGCGTGCATGCGTGCGTGTGTGTGTGTGTGTGTTCTTTGTAGAAGACAAACTAGGTTCTGTATGGTACATATGTTTTCCCCCTACTTCCACTGCAAAACCTACAGCAGTCCTAGTTTTCAAAAACACAGAGGCTATGTCTAGACTGGCATGGTTTTCTGCAAATGCTTTTAACGGAAAAGTTTTTCTGTTAAAAGCATTTGCGGAAAAGAGCATCTAGATTGGCACGGACGCTTTTCTGCAACAGCACTCTTTGCGGAAAAGAGTCCATGCTAATTTAGATGTGCTTTTTGCATAAGAAAGCCCCGCTCCCTATTTTTGCCATCAGGGCTCTTTTGCGCAAAACAGTTTTCAGCTGTCTACATTAGCCCTCCTGTGCAAAAACATTTCCGGAAAAGGGCTCTTGCCCGAATGAGAACGTCAACGCATTTGCGCAAGAAGCACTGATTGCAGACAGTAGAAAGTCAGTGCTTTTGCACAAAATCAAGCAGCCAGTGTAGAGAGCTTTTGTGGAAAAACTTGGCAGTTTAGATGCAGCCAGAGGTTGTAAGTACAAATATATGGGTCCCCCGTGGAGGAAAATGCAGAGTGACTCTATTCTTTTTTTTTTTTAAAGAGAAGGCAGTATCTGAGCAGCACCTTCCTTGCTTCCTGGTAGCTTTTCACTCCTACTTCTGTACTGCTCCCCTCTTCTTTCCCTTCAAATACATAATAGAGTTGAAAACAGCGATGAAAAATGGCTGCTCTATACCACATTTTCCCAGCCTGTACCCTCACCGGTGCTGTGGTTATTTAATAGAAAGGGCACAGTGCAGGAACCATGCTTGCCAGGTCAAGGGCCTGTGGAAGGCAGGGTCCAGCGTGGAAGCCAGCAATGGCTACAAGGCGGCTACAAGGCAGCTACCAGCCTGATGCAGCTGGGGCAAGGAAATGCATCGCCTGGCTGCCTAGCACGTGGCTGCCGTTGCCTGGGGTCTGTCTATATATATAGAAACTGGGTCCAAAAGTCCACGGCCGTAGCTACTGAGGCAGTGTGGGGTAGTGGCTACAGCTGTGCCTCTGCACAGTCGTGAATAGGAGTGTCCGGTGGTTACAGCGGGCCAGGAACCCAGAGCTGGGAGGGAAGCGAGGTCTAGTGGCTATAGCGCAGGGGATGACAGCGACGTGGGATTTTGCAGTCGGGGGGGGGCACAGGGAAGCAGCACCCCCCGGGTTCGGGCGCCGGCCCAGGGCGCGCGGCCC